CCGCAGTACGCCGCCTAACCCGGCCTGCTTCACCGCTGTTAGGTGCCTACCCTTGTAAAGTCCTTTCTTCCTTCTTCAGCTTAGAATAGTCAATCGACGGCACCTCTACGTTGAACAAGCCTAGGGGCCAGCCCCTTACAGCAGCAAGCATACCACAAACCAGGGAAAACCGCAAAACCCATACGCGTCGAAGTGGGTGTTCAAGACGGTCTGCGATATCTTTTTGATTGGATATCGCAGCTGTTGGTATGTTACGGAGGTGGCTCCGCTATATACAGAATCGACTGCGTTGACTTTATGATGCAATTGGTCGCTGAGGAACACCAAGATCTCGTGCGAGAGATGTTCGATCAGCTACTGGCAGCAACTAAACCTCCGAAGACCGGCTACGAAACGTGGGACCGCCCCAAAGTATGGTGTCTTATCGAAACCTTCATTGAAGACCTCGTGCTACGAGGATTTACTCGACAACCTTTTCATGCGCATAATAAGGGCATATGGTGCAGCGCCGAGCGCATCTCTCTCCCGTCTTCCAAGTGGGATTCTTCTTGTCACATCTACCAAATGAAGCTGCCCATTTCGGATTTGCCTTGCCCTTGGAAGGATAAAGATATTCCGGTGAAGCTGAAGTTCCCAGAACTGCCCCTTGACCTCACTGATGACCAAGTGAAGGAGAGGGTCATGTCAGAGGACTACGATATCAAGATCATCATAGACCATGAGACGGAATGCGAATCAGAGCGCTTCAGAAACTCTTCGGCTTTGGAATCGGACCTTCTGCAAGTCGAATGTCTTGGGATGCAGTGGAGGACTACCGAATGATGTCTCCTCGGCACTACACCACCGTTGGGTCACGGTTTCCTGCACTCGCTGGTTTAACTTCCGAGGCAAGGAACCAACAAAATGTACTATGGTCTAGAGCAACTCACGATACACCATCATACGGACAAGTACGAATCATTCAGAAAATCTCTCAGTCGCCTCATTTCTATATACCAATCGTTGGTGGGCCTGGAACAGGGAAGACGACCACCTTGGTCTTCCAGACTATGCTAGCAGCCATGGAACCTCTGTCTCGTCCTATTTCCCAAGCGAAGACACTCAACAAGCCATTCGCGCAAATCTTGGTACAGGCGGGCACCAACTCGACCTGCGACGACATCTGCGCACGATATGTGAATATGGCAAAGGAGTACAACCCTCAGAAAAGCTTTCAAATCTTACGCCTATTCGATGTCAGGGACGTTCTTGACTGGGATGAATATCCAAAGTATAAGCCGTACCATGATTCGGACATGCAGGAGACACTACGGGCGGATTGGCATCAAGAGCAGCAGAGACGTCAATGTGCGATGATCCGGCGAATATGTCAAGAATGGAAACGTCAAGAACATTGCAAAGTGTCATCACCAACCACACCAGGGAGCCCCCCTGGTCGCAGCATCGCTACAGTTGGAGACCCGGACGGGTTTCATATCAAGACAGCCAACAGCAGTCACCAAACTCGAGTACCTGAGCTCACTTTGGAAGGCCTGATAGCAAAACGACTTAGACAGCCAATTGAAAAGCTGAACAAAAGAGACGCCGAGCTGCGGAGTGGAATCATGAAATGCATGGAAAAGGGAGACTATTTCATGTTCTGTGCGGACTCTATATACTCGTTGGCACATGAGGTTGTGTCTTCCACTCAAGTCGTCGTCGGCACCCCTGCAGCAATCTGCGCTTCGCCGATATTTCGACAGCTTTTTCGGGCAGACATTTGTGTCCACGAAGATGCTGGCTCATCCAGCGAAGTCGACACTATGTGCCTGATTGCGGAACAAGACCCTCTAGCTTGTTTCCTCGTTGGCGATCCTGATCAGCAGGAATCGGCCTTCTTTTCGAAAAGAGCATGTGGAGATGCAAGGTTCAAGGCCATACAGGAGAGCAATCCTTTCGCGAGCCAGCTCCAAACGTCGCTGTTGCAAAGGATGGTGGCCTCGTTCATGATCCCTCACGGTGAATACCTATGTTCCGATCACAGGTCAAATGGCCTGGTGGGCGACGTCGTTTCAAAGGTCTTATACGGCAATCGCATCACGGCAGTGCAGAAGAACCCTTCTCCGTCGCCAATACAGACTCTATTCAGGGACCTGGTCGCGCAAATGTACGGCCAAGAGCTTTCTGGATTTGCCATCATGATCGATGTAAAGCATTCCAAAGAGATCAGTTCGGCGGAGGGATACTACAACCCCAAGCACATCGATGAGGGATGTCAGCTTCTGCAAACCATCCTGAAGCCTCTTCGCAAAAAGTCCCTCCGGGACCACGCCGATTCGACTTACCAACTTTATGCAGGAGTGGTAACTCCCTACAATTCCAGCATCACTGAATGGGAAAAAGCCTTCCAAGATGAGGGAATCCGTCACGTGGAGGCACATACACCATTCACGATGCCCGAAAGACATTTCGTCATGGTTGACCTCGTGAGATCCGACGACTCTGGAAACACGGGCGAAAGGAGTTTGCTGATATCCACCCTTTCTCGCGCCAATTCATGCATGATTGTATTGGTCAACACCAATACTCTCCGCAAAACCTACACCCCTTGGCTTGCCAGAGTGGTCAACTACTTCAAGGATAAGAAGCGGTTCATCGAGGTGCGATAATACAGTTCTCGCAAGGGCTTTTTGGGCATCTCGCAGGGATTGGGACAGATGTTTGGTGACCAGAGGGCAGTCACCGTGTTGTTGGCAAGTACTAGGGCCATGAGATGTGCCTTTCATCATATCGTTATCTCCCAAAACGAACGTAAAATTGAACAGTCTGTGTGCAAAATGGATAGGCTCTTATACTCTATGTCTAGGTCTATGTCTATGATCAACTGCAAAAGTTCATCCCCGCCTAAAGTTTTCAAGCTTCCTGCCAAAGTAAGACATATCTTTACTTGTAGATAATCCACCAGCACGGCTTAGACACACTTCTTGAACTCCTTGCTGCCGCGGTAATCCTTCGATACCTCAACATGGGTCATTACGCCGCAGAAAACGACCGATCCCTTGCTGTTCGCGTAGACGACGCGCAGGGGAGAGACGTTCTGGTTCTTGACCTTCTCATCCTTCTGCCACACGGCACCTTTGTAGCCCTGCCAGAACACGGGATACTCGTACAAGGTGGGTCTGCCGTTAGTGCAGACCTCAACACCCCAGTTGATCTTTTCCTGGTTTCCGAAGACGTGCGGGTAGCTGCTCTTGCCAGCGGCAAATCCGGCATTCGTAGCTTCGATCTTGACTTTGTCGATTTCCACGACAAACTTCTTCTCCTTCGCCTCGCTCTTTGTGGGCGTGCAAGTCACAGTAGCAGGCTTTTTGGGGGCTTGCTTAGGAGCTGACTTGGGAGGCTGTTTGACAGGCAATGTAGGTTAGTGGGTGACTCTTAGGAAATTTGAGTGGTCTGAGGGAGCCAAAGAAAACGTATTTGCCGATTACATACCGCGCGGGCTTCGAGGCTATCCTCAGTGGCAGGAGTAGGGACGGCCCAAATAGGAGCCGTGAAGAGGGCGAGGGGGATCAGAGTCTTGATGAAGTGCATTTTGACTGTAAAGGAGTGTTTTCCAACGAAGTTGATCTAGAGAGCGTAAAGGCGTGTTTTTTGAAGGTGTTGATTGTTGTGATGGGACATGGCCTACTTTGAACAGGCTTCTTTATAGTTTATATTCTTCTTCACGCGCACACATCGTTTCTTGCCAAGATCTGTTGATTCATTTTGCAAAGGGGCACGGCTACTCAGACGTCTGCTGGGAACGCAGCTGTTCGGCCATGTAGAGGTAATTCCGAATACCGATATGTTATTCCCAGCAGGTATTGTGTATATTGGTGCGAAGAGCATGTTTTCCGTATGGGAAAGAACGTCGGAGTCACCGACTACGAAAATAGACCATCCGTCAGAGATCGAGCGATTAGATGCCCGAAAACCCGAGGAGAGACGTCCAAATATGCTTCTGTGGTGGGTTCTTCTCGCAGTACAGGTTAGTGGAGCAGTGGAGCAGATCTTGCTGGTCTCTCTTGGTCTCACGGCGTTCTAATAAACTTCGACCGACCCGCCGCCCCTCATGAATCCCTAGATGTACCCGTTTACGTTCCCCAGGCGGCACTCCGTTATTCTTATTTTAGACTGTTTCTATAGATCTACCCTGGCTGAGCCTGGGGTACTCTGACGAGCGACGGGGCCAGCGAGATAATCAGCGAATTGTCCGAAAAGAGGGCCACGCGTGGGACCAGTCAGAACCAGCGAGAGAGTCAGCGAGAGACATAACTTCAGCCTCAGCATCGGAAGACCGGAACTGATCCTAGTCACGTACGGCGCTAGTTTAATTGGTATCTCGTGCGGGGCATCACATCTCACCTACCTTACGGCAACTTACATCGAGGCAAGTTGAGGCAGTGAAATTCTTCTTAATCTTTCATCAAACTGTGTTATGGTTCGCCAAGTCGCACGTTTTTTGCTGGAACCTGCAGAACAGGCACCTACAAACATCTGCTCGTTCTGCTGAGAGCATGCCGCTCTGCCCTTCACCAATAATTTCTCATCATCTCTGCGCCTTCCCTACTGATAGGGCCCGACCGGACTAGTTACTTTGCATGCTCTTCACAAAACCCGACTCAGAATGGCCACTGAAGACCTAGACTCAAGAGTTCTGAGTCTGAATCTGTTTGCTGACGATGATGACGAAGAAGACATCCTCTACAAACGGAAGCTGCAGAATTTGATCGACGGCACCGTGACACCGAGTGAAGCGGCGGCTGATTTTGACGCATGGGTGGTTCAAGACGCCAACAATCGCCTGAAGCAGCTCTTAAAGAGACCTGATCCCAAGAACCTGACTCCTGAAGAAGAAGCAAAGGGTATGTCCTTGCGCGCGATAGCACCGAATGCCAGCGGAAGTATCGACCTTGTGTTTCCGACCATCGCCAAGCTGTGCTCCGCATTCCCTCCCTTCCACCCTGGTCAAGATGCTATTGTTCAATTTCTCGAGGCACTCAGGGCTATGCCCGATCACCAAGTCCCAGACGGCATTCCAAATGGCGATGGAGACGACAGCCATTTCATCACGCTGTGGCCGTTCGGAGACGATTGGATGGCGTTAACGGAAATATTTCGCCGAGAAGCAGAAGGTATGTGTCTCGAGATAGTTGGCGGTTCTCACTGCTCACTGTTACTAACAACGCGGTCTAGAATATTCGTATCCATATTCAGATATCGAAACGCCTGGAAGCGAGACACAAGTTCGCTGGCGCAACTTCCAATCGGCGATTGCGCGTATCACCACTCTCGGGCTCATCAATTGCGGATTTCTGTCCGCGCTTGGCGACATAATGCCATCAAGCAGTACCTACCCTGATCTCGAGAAGCGAAAGATCGGCGGCCCCAACAGGGTCTCGGGAGATGCTATTGCTGCTGCGCAGTGGATTATGTGGCCCGACGAGGGTCGATTCGTGTATCAGCAGTGCAAGAAGCTTAATGAAACTGGGCCTAGGGCTATGTGGAGCCAAGAGAGATGGGAGGTGTGGAAGGAACAGTTCGCATTTATCGCTGGAGACGAGAGATTCACTCCCAAAGCCCGTGTAGCAGCCAAGCTATCAAGGGAGCAAATGATAGGCTATGAGGAGGAAGATAAATCCGTCTAGTAATTAGATCGCTCTTCTTGGTCTAAAAGCTCTAAATCTAAGTTTGCGTCATTATTCGATGCCAGTCATGACCATCTTCGTAACCAAAAACTCGTCAATGCCGTACTTGCTACCCTCTCTACCGAAACCACTCTGCTTCACGCCACCAAAAGGTGCCGCAGGGTCGCTGATAGCGCCTGTGAATAATGTCAGTGACTTATCTTTTCACGATTCTTGTCTCTTTTCAGGGGTTCTTACCGATGTTGACTCCAACCATACCAACCTCCAACGCCTCCGCTACCCTCCAGCACCTCGACACATTCTTGCTGAAGAAGTACCCGGCAAGACCAACATCCGCATCGTTGGCAAGCGCAATAGCCTCTTCTTCAGTGTCAAAGGCAAAGAAAGCGGCGACCGGGCCGAACGTCTCCTCGGAGCAGACCTTCATGCCAGGCTTCATATCGGCCAGCACCGTGATGTCGAAGAAGTTGGGGCCGAGCTCCGTCAAGGGCTTGCCACCGAGAAGCACCCGCGCGCCCTTGGAAACGGCATCCTTAACGTGCTCATCCACCTTGGCCACCGCACGGCCGTGAATCAGGGGACCGTGTGTCGTCTTCTCGCCGAATCCATCGCCAACGACGAAGCCCTTGATGGCGTCGACGAGCATCTTGGTGAACTTGTCGTAAACAGCGCGGTGAACCAGGATACGGTTGGCGCACACGCACGTTTGGCCCGATATCCTGAACTTGGACGCAATCAAGCCCTTCACAGCAGCCTCGAGGTCCGCATCCTCGAAGACGATAAAGGGGGCGTTTCCGCCGAGTTCAAAAGACAGCTTCTTCAGGGTTGACGAGCACTGGTTCATCAGAAGCTTTCCGACGCCGGTCGAGCCTGTGAAGGACACCTTCTTGATAATCGGGTGAGTCGTCAGGACCTTGCCCACGGAAACAGTGTTATCCAGAGCAGTGATGATGTTCACCACGCCCTTGGGGATACCAGCCCGATGAGCGAGCTCAGCCAAGGCCAAGGCCGTCAGGGGCGCCTCGGCAGGGGCCTTGACGACCACAGTGCAGCCAGCAGCCAGCGCGGGACCGGCCTTGCGCGTGATCATAGCAGCGGGGAAGTTCCAGGGGGCGATCAGTCCGCAGACGCCAACGGGCTCCTTGAGGGTGACGAGTCTGCAGCTCGGGTTGCTCGCCTGGATGGTATCGCCGTATATCCTGGGGGCCTCCTCGGAGAACCACTCGAAGAAGGATGCGGCGTAGGCGACCTCTGTTCTGGCGTCGGCCAGGGGCTTGCCGTTCTCGAGGGTGATGATGGCGGCCAGATCCTCTGCGTTTTCCATCATGAGGTCGTACCACTTGCGCAGGTAGCGGGCCCTCGCTCGCGCGGGAGTCTTGCGGTAAGATTTGAAGGCTTCATGAGCGGCGAGGATTGAAGCTTCAGTGTCCTTCTCATCAAATTCAGGGCATGTGGCCACCTCGGCAAGAGTGGAAGGGTCTGCATTCAGTGTCAGGATGAATTGAGGTCTTGGAAACAGGAGGCGACTCACTCTCGACAGAAAACACCTTGCTCGAGGCTGCGCCAACCCATTCTCCATTCACATAACACGCCGTCTTCAAGAGTGAAGCATCTTTCAACTAATCCTCCCAAGTCAGCTCCCGGGACGGTGTTGCGGGCAGACCGGAAGACCGCGGTTTCCTCGCATGCATGAGCACTCACCTGGTGTGCGCCTGACGCCATTTTGAATAACAGTTGCTAGCAGAAACAATGCACGTCAAGAAACCCTGCAGCAAAGTGGTCTGATGTCTTAGTGTGAACCGCGGCAATTGCAGCATATAGCCTTCGCGGTCCGGCGGTTTATATGAACCCCTCACTCACTCACGATGTTATCACAGGACCGCGCGCGCCGTCGCGATGCCGGTGTGCCTCAGAAAACCCAGCGATAGCGAAACGAAAGTGGGACCGGCCCGGGGCCACGGGGTGGGGTCGACAGCGGAGGGGGGACAATGACACATATCAACCCGCTAGATATGGTAAAGAATCGGACCAATTCCACGTGGGAAAAGAAACGCACGGGACAGAAAACGCCTCAAGGTGAGTTTCTGGTGGTCATAACGAGCCGCAATCGGGGGATCATGCTAGCTCCGATGGAGATGGTGGGGACTTTTCTGAAGCCGTTCTGGGCCCGGATGGGGCCGGCTCGGGACCGGCCGGCTTCGTCCCCGGCTGTCTGTCTTCGAGGGGCGAACGGAAGCTCTCGGGTGTTGCGAGATTCTGGGAGATAAATAGACGTTCTTCTTCAACTCGTTGATGGTTTCTGCTCTTGTTCGCCAATCTCATCACAGAGTCACATCTCATCACGATACTCTACTTCTACGCTTGAGACTCGACCTTGACAACACCCGAGATCACCGATTGTCTTGAAAGTAAGACCGACAAGATGCCTTCCTTCGTCGAGCACTCGGTCACCACGGAGGTCCCTGGACCCATGTCCAAGGCCAGCCAGAAGAAGCTTGACGCTGTCTTTGACGCTCGTGCCGTTCACTTCGTCGTCGACTACGAGAAGAGCCACGACAACTAGTATGTGTCATGGCTAGAAGACGCCTTTTTAGCAGTTACTAACACACAAAAGCATCGTTGACGTTGATGGAAACAAGTTCCTCGATGTGTATGTGCCCCTCCTGAGGTCACCGCAGATCCTCGGCATCCCACCTTGTCCCCCGCAGCTCGCTAATCTTAGACCACCCCAACAGCTACTCCCAGATCGCGTCCATCCCGGTTGGCTACAACAACCCCACCCTCATCGAGGCCGCCAAGTCGCCCGAGATGATCTCCGCCCTGGTCAACCGCCCGGCCATCGGCAATTTCCCCTCCGCCTACTGGCACGACATCCTCCAGGACGGCCTGCTCAAGGTCGCCCCGGAGGGCATGAACCACATCTTCACCGCCCAGTCCGGCTCCGAGGCCAACGAGCTGGCCTACAAGGCCGCCTTCATGCTCTACCGCCGCCGCGAGCGTGGCGAGGCCGAGTGGTCCCACGAGGAGATCCACTCCTGCCTGCACAACACCTCCCCCGGCTCGCCCGAGCTGGCCATCATGAGCTTCAAGAACTCCTTCCACGGCCGTGGCTTCGGTAGTCTGTCCACCACCCGCTCCAAGGCCGTTCACAAGCTGGATATTCCTTCTTTCAACTGGCCCCAGGCCTCGTTCCCTGCCCTCAAGTACCCCCTTGAGAAGTATGCCGCCGAGAACGATGCCGAGGAGAAGCGCTGCTTGAAGGAGGTTGAGGAGCTTATTAAGAGCTGGCACTGCCCCGTTGCCGCCATCATCGTCGAGCCTATTCAGAGCGAGGGCGGTGACAACCATGCCTCGCCCGCTTTCTTCCAGGGCCTGCGTGACATCACCAAGAACAACGACGTTGTCCTGATTGTCGACGAGGTCCAGACTGGTAGGTTCCCCCGGTATTTGTACTCCTCCAAGACAGACCCCCACTGACACGACTCAGGCTTCGGCGCCACTGGCAAGTTCTGGGGCCACGCCCACTGGAACCTCACCTCCCCTCCCGACATCGTCACCTTCTCCAAGAAGGCCCAGACGGCCGGCTACTACTTTGGCGACCGCATGCTGGTCCCCGACAAGGCCTACCGCCAGTTCAACACCTGGATCGGCGACCCGGCCCGCGTCATCGTCAGCAAGGCCGTCGTCGACGAGATCAGCAAGCGCAACCTGGTCGAGCAGACCGCGCGCGTCGGCGCCGCGCTCTACGCCGAGATGGAGAAGCTCGCCCAGAAGTTCCCCGACCATGTCCAGAACCTGCGCGGCAAGGGCCAGGGCCACTACATCGCCTTCGACACCCAGAGTGCGGCGGCTGTCACCGGCTCCATGAAGCGCCTTGGCGTTAACATTGGTGCCTGCGGCAAGGAGACCATCCGTCTCCGCCCCATGTTGATCTTTGAGGAGGCTCACAGTAAGTTGATATTGAAACCTGAAACTGGGAAGCCGAGGACATTTCATTGACCTTTTATTTTGCAGTTCCTCTCCTGATTTCTGCATTCGAGAAGACCTTCTCATCTCTGTAAATTTAAGCGCAAAAAGCATGGCATGGACGGAAAAGTTGATTGGGTGGACAAAGCATAGCATTGGTTTGAGCTCGGAGGGCATGCCGAGATGCGGCTTTGCCCTCTTTGAAGTTGATTTTGCACTGATACCATAATGACACCGCCACAAAAGGCGACGAAATACAATTGAAAAACATTTGATAATCAAACCAATCTGGAGTTTATCATGAGTGATATTGGTCACTGTCTTCATGTCTTCACCTGCCGCTCTTGGAATGCGCGGTGTACCGGGCCTGCCAAACAACAGTCTCTCAAAAATTGGCAGCACTACAATACGATTACGATCTCGTGACTGAAAATAGCTTGCTGTCAAATGGACCACGGCCGGCCGCTGGTGTGGCCCCAGGCCGCGGCTTCCACGGATTCTTCCGAGTGAGCAGCCTTCGGATACATCCAGATGATGCTGGATGAACAGAACTCCGTCAGCTCCCTCTCTCGCGTCAACTGCCGGCCGGCCGGGCCCATGTGAGCACGCCGGGAGTTGACGTCCACGCGGACCGGGAACGGTAGTCAACGCGTCCCCCAACCGGCACGTTATCAACCATCCCCGGAAAACCCTTCGCCTAGATCAGGACAACCCTGCTCAGACAGATCTCCGCCGAGAGATACGCAGCCGGGTCTTCGGGCCCGCAAAAGGAAGCCGGCTGGGGATGAGGGGTCCTGCGGTACCCCGCTCATCCCCGCGGCCCCAAGTCACCGAGATAAGATAATGATGCACCGGTGATGGGGTCTGCGCTAGCGTTTGATATCACAACGTTAATGAAGCTTCAGGTCGGGCGAAGAGGACGTATAAATCGTCAAGCACATAGTCCCGGATCAGGCCTCAGGAAGCAGGACATCACCCCTTACAGCATACGTCACTATCATCCAATAATTATCCCAGCCCTTCACAACCAAGAGAACACCATGTCAGCCCCAAGGAAACACGTCGTCTTCGACATCGTAGGCACCTGCATGTCCTACGACGCGATCCACCGCGCAATCGACACCCGCCTCGGCCCCAAGCTCGCCGAGTACCAGATCAAGCCCGCCCTCCTGGGCTTCGCCTGGATCGAGGCCGCCGAGCGCGAGTACACCTACCTCAGCATCCAGGGCCGCTACCGCCGCTTCTACGACATCTTCCGCAGCCTCTTCTACCGCATGCTCTACCAGGCCGGCGTGCCGGAGCCCCGCCAGCTCGCCACCGACGACGACGTCGCCTTCATCATGGAGCGCTTCATGGAGCTCGAGGCCCGCCCCGGCATCAAGGAGTGCTTCACCCTCCTGCGCGAGGCCGGGTTCACCGTGTGGGCGTTCACAGCGGGCGACGCCAAGCGCGTGGGAGGCTACTTTGCGAGGGCGGGCATCGACATGCCCGCGGAGAACCTGCGCAGCTGCGACTTTGACGGGCTGGGCAAGCCGGATCCGCGGGCGTACAAGACGCAGCTGGAGAGCTTCGGCGGGGAGGAGGCGTGGTTCGCCGCGGCGCACATGTGGGATGCGAGCGCGGCCAAGGGGTGCGGGTTCAAGGGCGCGTGGTGCAGCATCTACGAGAAGGAGCCGTGCGTGGATTTGTTTGGCGAGATGGACGTGATGGCGGACGAGTTGCCGGAGATGGCGCGGAAGATCATAGCTGCGTCAGAAGGCAAGAAAGCGTGATTAGGAGCCCGCTTTCGCAATTGAAGACCATCCAACGAAGACTACGTCATTAATATTATTCAACGTTTTAATTGAGCAAGCATATGCCGGTGGTGAAGTGATACGCTTGATACGCCATTTATCCCTGCGTCGGGAGGACATTTCCTTATCTTGAGTTTGAGTGGCCGAGGTCTGGCGTACCGGCTAGTTGCCGGTTCCGTGTCGTCCGTGGCCGGGTCGGCCTCCGGTCTCGGAGAACCTCCGTGTTCCCCGCCTGAAGCGTGAGGAGGGTTGGCAACGAGGCGGACTCGACCTCTGGGGGTATCGGCGGGGAATCATCAACATGCCGGCGTCTTATCTCTTGCAATCGAACGACAACTCCGATTGTCATCGGTCTGCAGCTTCGTGCTCATCAAATCTGTGCCGGTTGTCGGTTCATGATACTGCAACACTCGTATGCGGCGACCAATGCAGCAGTGCTTTGGATTTGCACATATTTCGTATATAGAAACTCGAAACGGATCGCTTATCAATTGATTGTGATCGTTTTCGCCGTTTGATGCTTAGCTCCTTTCGTGACATCTACCCCGGATCAATTACAGTCGCTCATGATGGCTACCCAGAAGCCGACACACATGCGGGCCCCTGTCGCCAACCCCGTCACCCCCTTTTGGAACTCTTCCCCGCGGGCGCTGGACGACCATCGCACTACTCCAGACCTACCCGCTTCCAGCGATGTGGTCATTATCGGCGCTGGTTTTGCAGGAGTGGCTACGACGTATCATATCCTGAAAGACAACCCGTCTCCACCTTCTATCACGATTCTAGAGGCCAGGAAAGTCTGCTCCGGCGCGTCGGGACGGAACGGCGGACACGTCAAGCCCGACACATACTTCAACGTCCCCAAGTATACCAAGCTCTACGGGGCCGGTGAGGCTGCAAAACTCGCAGCGTTCGAGGCATCTAATGTGTATGCAGTGAAGGAGCTCGTTGGGAGCGAGGGCCTGGACTGCGATTTCCACCTCACGCGGGCTGTGGATGTATATCTTGACCCGGAGCATGCCAAGCAAACCGAAGCAGCCTATCGCGAGCTATTGAAAGCGGGCAAGGTCAACCTGAAGGATGTGGCTTTCACGCCTGAACAGGATGCCGAAAGGGCAAGTCGTTGATGGAAACTCACAGCTCGAATGGTCGCTGACGTTACGTTCCCAGGTATCCGGGGTGAAGGGCGCTAAATGCTGCTTCTCCTTCACGGCCGCCCACCTCTGGCCCGCCAAAATGGTCCACCAGATCCTGCACCGTCTTCTCGAAAAGGACGTCAACTTACAAGCCAACACGCCCGTGAGCAGCGTCTCCGAGACGCCAGACGCAGACGGCAAGTGGACGGTGCAGACCCCCCGCGGCGCCATCACGGCCGGCAAAGTCGTCGTCGCGGCCAACGGCTACACCGCGCAGGTCCTCCCGCAGTACGAAAACCGCATCGTGCCCGTCCGCGGTATCTGCAGCCGCATCACGTCGCCCAAGGGCATCCGCACGCCGCACCTGGTCAACACGTACGGCATCCGCTTCGACGCCGTGAACAACGACTACCTCATCCCGCGGGCAGACGGGAGCATCGTCGTGGGCGGGGCGCGGCAGATGTTCTGGCACAAGCGCGCGGAGTGGTTCGACAACGTCCGCGACGACGAGCTGGTGCGGGGCGCGGCGCCGTATTTTGACGGCTACATGCAGAGGCTATTCCGGGGCTGGGAGGATAGCGGGGCTGAGGTCGATCGGGTGTGGACTGGCAGTGAGTGTGCATGGCATTCCGTCCCCCGTGTGTCCGAATGAGGCAGGTGATTGTTGACAAGTGAATGCGACAGTTATGGGGTACAGCTCTGACTTCATGCCGCATCTTGGGGCGGTGCCTGGCAAGCCCGGGCAGTTCATCATCGCTGGGTTCTCGGGTCACGGTATGCCAGAGATTCTCCTGTCCAGCAAGGGGGTTGCGGCCATGGTAAGGGATGGGGTTGCGTTCGCGGAGACGGGTTTGCCCAGCATCATGGAGACGTCAGAGGCGAGGATCTCGCGCAAGGACAGCCCGCTGGAGGAGGGATTGAAGTCGGTTTGGAAGGGAGAGGGAGAGGTCAAGGCGAAGCTGTAATGGGGGTTACTTAAGAGATAAGGTGCATGGCAGGGAATAGCTGGCCTGTCACTGTTCGTGGGGTACCTATCCGGGGGTTAATGAAGTTTGCTCATGTATCTATCGTCAGGCAGAGTGCGATCTGGAATGTGAAATAGAGAGAAAAGAGGCACGAGTCAGCATCTCCAGATACTTACTACCTTGGAAGCGTGTGCGGATAGGCACAGGGATGCGTGTTCGGCTCCGACCGGGTGCATGCCGGCTTCCCCGCGTCCTGTCAGCAGAAAAGAGTGGGTCCCCGAAGCCCCGACCGCGGCGCAGGTTTCGCCGAAATTCAGCCCCTCTCTCCCCTCTCAGGAAAGGCGCGGGACTTCATCCAGCTCCAGCCTATCTTAGCTCTCCTCACACACAATCTTGGAGCCGGCCAACAAATCCTCCCTTTACCCACCCGCATACCTTGCTCACATCCGCACGCACGCCAGCCGCACACCGCGAACTCTACCTGCCTTACCTTACCTAGTTGCAAGGGAGAGCGACTCAATGCGTTGTCTGTGAGGCCGAGACCAGACCTGTCTCCCTCCCTCCATTCTCCGCCACTGCACACAAGCATTCCGTTTCCGGGGGTCTTGAGTTACACGCGCCGCCCGCCCCCCGAGACCTGGAACCGCGAACCGGCCCGGGAGCCTTGCCTTTGCGCTGGCTGATCGGCGTGCGGCTCCCTATCTGGCCTTGCCTTGACTTTTCCGCCGCCGCCGTCTTTCTCACACCCCTTATCGGCTATCGCGACCCGAACGTCGATGGATCCCGACGACGGTCTGCGTCTGCAACGACACAAGCAGCGCCGCGTCGCGGATAAGGAGCGAAAGCGGGCTGTTCGAGCGTACGATGAGGCCCTCCCCTTCCCGTTCCCCAGTCCCCTAGTCCCTCACTCTAAGCCCATCTACCTCCCCCAACTCTCACAGCTCCTCGCCGTCATCGTGGCCCCGTGAAAAGTGCCTTCCATGCTGACGCGACCAAGCTGCGACGGATGCCGGAGACTCAAGGAGAAATGCGACGGCGGAGTCCCCTGCCGGCGGTGCACCCGCCTCCGCCGGCAGTGTGAGTTTCTCACGCCCACCACCAGAGAAGAGCCCGGCGCTGAGAGTGCGGCAAGGTAAACTAAACTTTCTTTTTGTAATCCACGCTTTGTCATGAGTCGCGAGATGCCATGGATCTCCATCAAGTGCTTCAACACGTGGCTGACGAGGCCACCATTTGGCGGATATCAATAGACCCCGCCCGTCGCACCAGGAGGACTCGGAGTTGAGGCAGCGCATGGCCTATATGGAGCGTTTGCTTGCCCACTACACCGGCCAGAGTAGACTCGATGCTGAGACATTAAAGACCTTGGCCGACTCCGTAGAGAAAGGACGAACCGGCCCGGAAGCCCCGGGACCGCAACCAGACCCGGACGCCACCATGGACCCGGACGTCGGCGCCGAGGTTGAGGTGAAGTCGCAGAGTTCCGATTCGTTCCAGGTCGATGAGATTACCGTGCAGCCATTGGAGAATAACATCACCCGTAAGATGAGCCCCAGGCATGAGGTTCATGGCGCCCCGGAACTGACTGTGGCTAGACTACTCCGGCGAGTTCTCACACTGGAACTTTTCCATGCGGATAAAGCAGTGGATAGAGCAGTGTGTAAATGTATGTCTCCCTCGGCATTGACTTGGATCACAAAAACGCTTACATCATTCAGGATACCCCCGATGGTCCCAAGACACAGTTCAAGGAGTACTACCGCCCCGAGGAGCTGCAGTCAACATCCAACACTGTTGCTTCGCTCTCATCACTTCCCCCGCGCTACGTGGCTGACTTCCTCGTCCACGCGTTCTTCAACCATGCCGAGACCAGCTACTTCTATGTTGAGCGGCACTGGTTGCAAGAGAAGTTGGATGTCGTGTATGAGAACCCGGGATCCCTCACACGTCGAGATGTCGGGACCATGTGCATCATCCTGATCGTCTTCGCCATCGGCACGCAATATGCGTATCTCGACTCGCGTGATGAGAGGGGCAGGGTGCCGACTGCCCCTGCCGAGTCGAGCCCGTTCTCCGAGGACACCATTGGCATCATGTTCTACCAGCAGGCCTGTAGGCTTGTGCCAGACGTCATCACGATATCCAGCCTGGAGAGTGTGCAAGCTTGCCTGCTCATCGGCCTCTACACCCTCCCTCTTGATGCATCCGGACTGTCATACGTGTACCTCAATCTTGCCGTGAAGCTTGCCATACAGAACGGCATGCACCGCAAGTATCCAGGAGACCTCATTGACCCCGTCATCCGCGAGACGAGGAACCGCGTGTGGTGGACGGCCTACACAACAGAGAAGTAAGCTAGGCGTTCATAAAACCTTCGGTTGCGGAGGTACTAACGAATCCTAGGCGCATCGGCATATTCCACGGCCGACCACTCTCCATTGCTGCCGCAGATGTCGATGCCGAGATGCCAGTCGACCGCCCAAACATCTGGGCCGGCTCACCACCACCAAACACCGCACACATGCTAGCCACCCTCCAGCTAAACCAAGCATTAAGCCGGATCAACCATCAGATGTAAGCACTCACACCTGCTTATCGCCCCTCACAGCTAACAACCCTCCAGCTCCCTCTTCAAGACCTTTGAAAAGCACGAAATCCCAGACGGCATAACCAAACTAGTCGAGATGAAGGCGCAGCTGCACACCTGGTGGAACAACCTCCCAGAAACCACCTTCTGCAAAGACCCGAGCCCCGGATCTGCCGTCTTCCGCCCCGACATGCATCTCCGCCTCGAATACTGCCTCGTCCGCATGTTCGCCGGCCGCCCCTTCATCTTCCCCCGCGAATCCACCCGCAGCACCGCCTCCTCCTCCGGCTCGCCCGCCGACTCTGCCGTGCCCCCGCGCACCGGCTCCGCCGCCGCCGCCGCCGGCAAAGCCCACCCGCGCTCCGTCCTCGTTGCGGACTGCGTCGACGCCGCCCTCTGCGTCGTCGAAACCTGCCGCCTCCTCCGCAACAGCATCGGCCTCGCCCGCGCCTCCTACACCGAGTTCTCCTCCTGCCGCGCCGCCCTCCTCGTCATCATTACGCAGTGCCTCCAGAAGAAGACCGACCGCCTGCGCGAGGCCCTCCGCGACGGCCTCGCCATGCTCAAGGAGATGTCCACCGGCGGCGAGTCCGCAAAGTCAGAGATGTCCCTCATCGAGGCCTTCGAGCGCGCCATCTCCCGCCTCGACGCCAACGACGACGCCGCGTCGAGCTCCGCCAAGGAGTCCGACTACGCGCGCTTCAAGAAGTGGGAGATGCTGTGGAAGACGGACACGCCTGCGCACGACGCACGCAGCGAGCGGAGCCACGATGCCGGGCTGCCGATCCCGCCGCACCCCGCGGCGTTCTGGCGGACCGGCGGCGGCCACGGGCATGGTGGTGGTAGCGGCGGCAGCGGCGGTCATGTGGCGCCTGGGACCGGGAGGCAGGGGACGGCGTCACTACCGCCGGCGATGCCTTTCTTTGGTCTCGACGGGAGCTTGTCGCCGATGCCGCCGGCGCTGGATGAGTTTTCAGCCATGTTTGGGAATGGGTACGTGCCGGGGTTTGAAGGCATGGGTGGGAGCGTGAACGGGAACTGGATGGGTTTGTAAAGCGAGAAGAAATACGTTGAACGAAAGGAGGCGTTTCTGGTAAACTTTTCTGGCTTTTGAGGAGGGGCTTTCTTGGATGAAAAAAAATGGCCACGCGCAGCGAACAGCCGGCTTTGCGAAGAAGCGATATTTTTGTATGCACGTCTAGTTCACGGGCTGTCTTGTTTGTCCATACGAATAGATCATACATGATCTGATTCATACACCAAGCTTGAGGCCGATCCAATAAACACCCGCCGAAGACGCTCTAGGGGCGAAGGCATACCATCGCAGGCCAAGCATAAGCAGCCGGTGAAGTCACGGCGGCTAGCTGCAATCTCGGGGCGGCAGCAAAGCACGAATTGGATCAATTCGGGCTGGAGCGGTGAGAGAACGAGCTGTCAACATGGCGTGACGGAGTTTTCAGAAGTGGTGTGATTGCATGCAGCAAGTGCTCGTTTACGGAGGTGAGAAAATGGCCGGCCATGTTTCACTGGTCGAAAACGAGAACCACATACCACGGAACACCAAAAGCGCAGTCCATAGAACGACAAAAAGGAATCGTTCTCCGAACCCAGAATCGAACTAGGGACCTTTCGATAATCTTGGTAGAACCATTACAGTCGAACGTGATGAACCAACTACACCATTCGGAGAGAACGTGACTAAGCCACGTGAATGATTGGCTAACTGCTGGTCTCGGCGGAGGACAAGTCGATTATATCGCGCAGGGACTGCAGGAATTCGGCGGAGTTTTGTCGTTCAGTTAGGACAATTATATCCCGTAAAGACTGCAGGAAATTGGCGGAGTTTTCGAGACTTCGGGCGCCCTGCAAGCTGGGCTCCGGGCGGGTACGGAGAATGCGGGAGCCCGAGTACTCCGGGCCCGGGCCGCGGAACACGGCTAGTGGAAAGCTTCGGTAATGCATTCCGAGAAGAGATTGCGGCGATTAATACATTACCATTGTCTACTCGCTTCCGCAGGGGCTAAAATCCCTTCATTTAGAACAGTGGAAATCACTTGTCGCGTTGAATTAGCGTCCATGGTGCGCGATAGTCGTATAACCCGTGGAATGCAAGCCTGGCTTTCTCATGTTCTTTGTTCGTGTTATGTTATTTGACATGTAGATAGACCTTGAAGTGTTCTACAATCCGTACACTTCAGTATCAATTGCCCAGTTGGCGAGCACGCATTGGTCTCTATCTATGGCTCCAGGTGACTAGGCCGACTTGGCTGCCGTCTCAGTGTCTTTCCGGAGACCCATCCGGGAGTACGACTCGAACTGAAGCTTATCGCCCGCTTCCTGAATACCCTTCACAGTTTCCAAAATGGACTCTTCCAAGGGGGTCCAGCCCGGACGTCCCAGCTCTCGCAAGTACTGCTCGGCTTTGTCGCGCGCTTCGACGGGGTGCTGGCTCGGCTCGTTAGAGAAGTTCTCCGGGAACTGCTTCCCAGGCTCGTTCTTGCGGAAGATTTCCAGGATCAAGTCCCAGCTGAAAGTGTGGGCGAGACCGAAGAGGCGCTGATCTTTCACATGCTCGAGAATGGCTCCAGCAACATGCAATCTGCCCGTGTCGTCGTTGTCGATGAAGTATTCTATGAAAGACTAATTAGTCACGCCCTGCTCGCTCAGGTAGCATAAAACTTGCGCTTAGATATGACGCGGTGAACACCCGCAATCTTCCCGTTGTAGAGTACGACCGGAAGTCCAGAGCTGCTGGGAAATCCTTGGTTGACCGGGTCGATGGAGCCGCCAAAATTGAAGTTGGGGAGTACTATTTGATTTTTCAGTCCAAGTCAGTCTTTATATCGAAGACGTTTTTTTACCAGTGTTGACAACGAGGTCAGGGCGCTCGCTGCGGTGCTCCTTGTGGTACTTCCACACTTCCTGCTCTGCCTGCGTCTTGCTCGCCGCATAGACGGCGCCAGATCTTTCCGGGCTGTAAGGAGGATCGGCCCACGCGATGTTGACTGCGTTCTCGTTCCAGCTATCTTCGGTAATCACCGAGTCTGGTGAGTCGTCTTTCGGACCAGCGGCAGCTGACGATGAAGTGAACACAAAGCGCTTCACGCTCGGCTGCGCGTAAGCCGACTTCAATGCACTCAGGGCGCCCTTGATGGCGACGGGAATGACATTGTTGGGGTTGGGGTCTAGCGTCATGATGGAAGCTGTGTGCACAACTACGGCGACGCCTGGGATTGAATGTCAGCCCCGTAACTTGTCTGCTGACGTCTTTCGGGTTACTCTCGGCATACCTTTCGTGGCTTCATCGAAAGCGCCTTCCGCTGCCATATCCGAGACTTGAGCAAGCTCGAAATGGCCTTGGCCAAATTGCCTTTCAAATGCCGCCGGAAGCCATGCAACCTTGTCCGGGTTACGAACTGTGCCGCGAACCTTGTATCCATATTCGAGGAACTGTTTCGCAACGTGGGAGCCCAAGAGGCCGTTGACTCCAGTCACAAGAACTGTCGAGCCTTTGGGAATCGCAAGGTTTGCCATAATTGGTGGGAGTGCAACGGTGAATTCAAGGTGCAATTCTCAAGATGTAAGTAAGTTTTGGAGGGTGTATGTATGTGAGTATCGTGGTTTTAACAGGTGGCTCTAAGGGATTGTGCCATCTCACAATGCTTGACTCCATCCGATTACAAATCCTGGGGTCATACCTGCAGGCAGTTACTGCAACTTGCGCTGCGGACATTCCACTTGGCGGGCGGACTTCTACATCTAGGATGGATCCACCATAAAGGATCCATCATCCAACAGGACGGGTAAACTTGCAGGGGATGAGTTAGCGCCAATGTTGAAGAATGGCGTCAATATGCACTTCCAATCATATTCCTGCACACATCAAAGTCAACCGCTTTTCCAAGAAACCTCGCTGCCATCCAAGGGAAGTTACTTGGAACGGTGAGTTATCGGGTGGCCCATCAATGGCAAGTTGATCCAGGTGCATTATCAGGCTTGCGACAGAAGGGCATATTGGTTGTTTCAAGTTCACATTGCAAATTGATGCAGAGTACACATGATACATTTCAATTTACCAGTCTGATAGAAATCTCCCTAGGGAAATTTGTTGGCTGTAAGATTTCCAACTAGAGACCCTACCAAACAACCATCGCAAGAAATGAGGCCAGTCATGAAACCAAAGGCGTCTTTACCCATCTGGCTTTTAACATAGTAGCCATGCTATATCAATGAGCCACTCCGTCTCGTATTGAAAACTTTCAGGTTGTTTCCCTCAAAATATTGTCCAAGTTGTCGCGGGTTGAACCAGGGGGTTCAGGCTGACATTAGATCACTCGGAGGCCTGAGTGTGCTTGTCGAGAACATCGCCAGCTACGTGACGACAATTGAGCGTCACATTTCAGAAGAAAAAGCAAGTTGGTGTTTAACTGGCCGGTATTTGATGCATTCAGTGTACATCTGTTTCATCTTTACAGGTATTCTCAGGCTAGGTCTGTGATTGCTGGGAAGAGTTGTCCTGGCCAAGAAGCAATCTTCTCTCTTCCTCGTCGTGACTTTCAAGGTATTCCTCCGGCAGGTCTGCGTGGCCCGCCCGGGAAAGCGCCAAGGACGCGAGACCACACATGGCGAAAGACATGACATAAGGCATACCTTTCCAGATTCCATCAAGTCTCATGCTCCAGCTGAAGGTCCTAGCAACAATGGGGCCAGCGAGTAAGGAGCCCAAGGTGTCCATCATGGAGAGTGTCGTGAACAAGGTCCCGACCATGTCTTTCTCAACCAATGAACTGAGAAGCGATCTAGCAAATGAACTGAAACCGTTTCCAAGGGTATAGAACGCCAAGCCTAGAAATGCGCTTCAGTAAACTCCCTCTAGTCTCCAGTGTCGTGTAGAGTGCTTACCGACGACAACCACAGGTATGCTTGGCGCAAGAACCAGGACTGCAAAGCATATCATGATAAACACAATACTGAGCCTGGAAAGAAGGAAGTCTTTGACTCGAGCGGAGAAGCCTAGTTTCTTGGAAATGAAAAGATCCAGCACAGGCAGAATGGCGACGAAGGTTACAAGCTGCGCGAAAGCCCGGAATGAGACTAGAAGGTTGGCCTGGAAATTGTCAGTAGGAACATCACGGTAATCTCGCGAGATAGATACCTTGGCTATTGGAATAGCGTATCTCGTTGATAGGTATTGCAGAAGGACACCGAGAGATTGTCGAGAGAAGTCGACGGCTAGAAATGTCAAAACAAGAAACAGGACACTACGATGGCGAAGGATAAATCCTAGAGTCTTGTGAACATGTCTGAGGAGGTTTTTCAATGTTCTTCGAAGACTCAAGTCTTCTGAAAGGCCCTCCCTGTCTGACTCGATCGAGTTATCTTCGCCTCGAGGCAGTGTTTCCGGGATGGTACCTGTGAGAACGGCTGTGATTATCGTACAAGCTGCAAGATTAGCTGAGGTCTAGACAGTGGTGCTGCAGTCTTACCCAATCCCAATAGCAAAGGGTGCCAAAGACTATGGGTCATCAAGGCGGAACCAATCGCTGGCCCGATCAGCTCCGCGACAATCAGAGCAGCCTGGGCATAGAAAAAGACATTTGACCTATTTTTTTCAAGTATTAGTATTCTTGAAAAGCTTACTCGTTGTCGCCTTTACTTACCTGTACTTTTCAGGCGACGCATCTGTAATGATCATCATGGCGACAGCGCCAGTAACTGTGCTTCCACCTCCAATGAGAAGAAAGCATGAAGACAGCCACACAAGTTTAAGGGGCAATTCCAGCCAGCCTGTGATAATTGTAAGCAACATGATGGCAAGCAACTCAAAGCTCATCTGCGTTTTCACTCACAAATGAAGAGCACCCAGCAAGCACCCAGCAAGCACCCAGCACCTGTCCTACAACGCTGAGGAAGAAGACTCGTCTCCGGCCTTACTTATCTGCAAGCACTCCGAACCACATAGCCAATATCAAGCCAGGAATGCCATCAAAGAACGTCTGCCAACCAAACAGCTCCGCCACGACGTCTTGAACTGCAGGGTCCTTGCACATCTCCTCAGAGGGTCCGCTGCCGGGGACGTTGCCGCCAACTTTGTAGTACTGTCGACAGACGACGTCCTCGAACAAACGCGTCTGCGGAGCAAGAGACATGCAGTTTCCAAGGCCGTCAATGAAGAGCATCATTGCCACAACGACGATAGGTTTCCAATAGATGCTATCCCCGTGACCAGCAGTGGACTCGGTTGAAGGTCCGGGCTTGCGCTTTCTACCTGTACAGCCCATTTTCCGATGTGCGTTTGCTTGGCTGAGGAATCTTGAGAGTAAGGGTGGTGGTGTCTAGTGGTTGCCGATGAGTACTTTGACGTGCAGGTGGGATGGGGATGGAGCACTCTTACCAGCCAGTTGCGGAGGTGTGCCGGAATAAAAGCTTAGAATAGCGGTCGCCTTGGCGACATGGATACGAGCTTTACTTATGACTGATTAAGAAACAGGGCTCATTGTGTTGGTAATTCACTTGCGGCGAGCCGGAGCGACGCGGAACCAACGGATTCATGGGGTCGTCTAGCCCGAGCCAACAGCTGCCAGGGGACAGCATAGCTGATTTTCCTTCGCCGATCGTGACTTTGCCTGTAAATTCTCCTCGTTTACTAATGCATTGCTCTATCTGCAGTCCTTTTTATCGTCTAACAATGCCGTGTATAATCAACTGGACTTGATTGAGAAATCCCAGTCGAGCAATCAAAGAGAACTCAGGTGACAAACGGCTGAGGCTTTTCGTTCGAAGTTCAGTTGGTCTCAAGATGGTTAATTGAGTGAAACGCCATATCTTATTGAACGTATGTTCGTTGTCCCTGCTCCAGAGCGGAAGTATTTCTGAACTTATTACCATGTGACACCTGGGGTACTTGCCTGGAGAGAAGATCACCTCTATGCATCTCATGTCCGCAAGAATGCAGAACGCAACTATCATTGCAGCCATGCATCAACTTGAGGGGGCCGCCACATATGAAAAGGAAGCCGTTCTTGATGAAGGCATTTTAGCGGACACTGTCGATATTGCAAATGTAAAAGCTAGATGTGAACTCTTTAAGGGAAAGTAGCTGTAGCCAGAACAGAAGGCCCGGGGTCGCTTCATGTGCGCTGGAACACGGTAGCTTGCTCGCGGTGAGATGCTATGTGATGGGTGTCGATTATCTCACATTTTCTTACCGAGGTATTTCTCAGTAGGGGAAAATAGCACAACGTTATGTTATATCGCTGAGATTTGCGGAGCTCAATAACAGGGCTTCCTTCAAGAAAGCCATGTGCTTAGGAAGGGGAGAGAAACCCGTGCTTACCTTGAGATTGTTCGTGATGTTTTCAAGGGAAACTGTTCCCAGAAGTGAAGCAAGAGCAGAAAACTCACACAAGAACAACTCTACACATGACCAGGCGCTGGCTCAGGACACCACAAAGTGAGATGCGCTTTAATGGTGGCTCAGTGGGTGAGCTACGACACTTTCCATGCCACTTCCGCAAGCAACTAACCTATCAAGCTGTACGAAGGAAGGTCTCATCAGGCTGCGTATGGCAGCTACTGTTACGCAATCAAACAAATGGGCAGCCTTAAGATGTTCTGCTTCTCCGCTTGGCAAGAATCATACTTTGTGACTTTGAGTCTCATCTCCATGTTTGGAGCTTTCTGGAAGACAAACAAGAGGTCCAGCCATCTTCCGAGGCGTGCGAAGACAGGTTTGCACTGGTTAGGGTGTTGGTTGAGCATGATGTCGATGTCAATGCGTCTAACAAATGGGGTCGCACGGCTCTGAACATCGTCTCTCCAGGAAATGAACACCAGGGTTTCATTAAATATCTAATTGATTAAGAGGCTGTTTATTGTCTATAGGGATATGAATGCAACGCAGTTAGAGAAAGACGAAGCTAGCCGAAGTATTGATAATGAGCAATAAGAATAATCAGTATGAAGGGTACACTGAAAGAAAGCACTAGGAAGAACCCAACAGCTGGAACATCGAGTTTTGTATTTTTCCAATTATTTTGGGCGAAGCAGGCACAGACACCTTTTGCCCGGCCCTAGCGTCGAACAACATATTTTCAATGAAGAAAACAAAAATCACGTTACAAGTCTTATTATTTATATATTTGTTGATCCGTAGAAGAAGCTTAATGATAATCCCTAAACATTGTAGGTCTTTCCCCCTGCTGTCGTGTTAGTGGTAGTGTTTGCTCATCTCTACGTGATGTATCCTATGGAATATCAGCTTACACATGAATGGAAATGAACACCACCGAGTGCCTCACCTCACGATTCCTGATCGTTGTCGTGGAAATAATCTCTGGAATGCATCACCCCACCAACTCCATCCCTGGACACACCCCATTCACCCCCTCCACCATTCCAGACACTCGATCACCCCAGAGACTCCACAATCTTCAGTTCTTCCATTCCAGTCTTCGGGGCCGAGAGAAACACACCCACCGCAAGAGGTTGATGCGGGTCTTCTCTTAAGTGTCGTCATAGGTAAGCGACCCGAG